CGTCCAATAAAAAATTGAAGTTGTCTGAATTTCCTTTTGTAAATGTCTGAAATTAAAATGGAAATCGTCCGGAAAAAAAAAGAGAACGTCTGAAATTTTTTTTAAAAGGTTCGAAAACCAAGTAGAAATACTGTAGCCTAGATTTTTTTTTTCAGTATCCTAATTTGGAATTACGACAATAAGATTTAAACGTCCGATACCTATTTTAGAAAAAAGGGGGATAGGCATCTGTAGGAAAGAGTGAATTGCTACTGAGCAGAAGTATATATAGCTATGTGTCTGATAGACAAGATGATTAGTAATAGCCTTTATTTGATTTAGAAATATGGGACAATCGTGGCCAAGGTAACAATAGTTTCTATGGAAACACTGTAATATCTATGTACTACCATGAAAATAGTATAAATCCAAGATTTTCCTTTGGATAGTCTTTTTACTTTTTTAAGCTATGGCAGCATAAATACCTGCTCATATTTAAACACGCTCCTTTTTTATCTTTCTTTCTCTTTTATTCATTCATTCATTTCTAGTTGTCAGCCCCTACATTATGTTGTCAGCATCTACAATCTCTTCAACCTCATCGAGTGCTTTTTCAACCACTGGCAGTTTCGGCATTTTAACACCTTCATCTCAACATTCAATTGATTCTCAAAAGCAAATAGCTTTTTTAAATGAGATCGCTGAAACAGAACAGCGCTACATGGAAACCTTGAATATGATCGATTCTGTAAGTTTATTAATATTGACAGACATTCACTTGTGCTAATATCTTATATCAGCAAGTGGCGCCTACTTGGATGAAGCAAATGACATCTGCTGCACCCGATTTCTCTGAGCTATTGAAACATATCCATGATATCATCAAGGCTAACAAAAGATTCTACATAGTAAGATAAAAACAAGTAATGAATAACCAGATTAACCTTCAGATATAGAAACTAACAAGGATGATTCAAAACCCGCAAGCGATGAATGAGTGCAGTGAGGTGCTTATACAGTGGGTGAATGATTTGGAAGTACCTTATGCAAACTACTGTCGAAGCTATATCCCAAATCTAAATGAACGTACAGATATTTTTGCAAATTCATTCGTTTCAAAGTTACTTCACGTAAATTCAACCATCTTTTTTTTTTCTAGTCTCCTTATTCTCTGTATAGGATTTATCTGCCAATGCATCTTATGAAATAACACTTGAATCGTTATTTAATGCACCTATTCAGCAATTAAAGTATTACAAATCCCTATATAGCGTAACCTATCATGACTGTCCTATTACCAAACATGTACTTACCATTTATTGTAGAGATTATTAGATGGAATTGATTATGGAACACATGATCATAAGCTATTAACAAATGCAAACAAGAGAATTGACACCATCTTGCTTATGTCTCAAAAGACAAATCGTCATGTTGATTTGAATGCAAAAGGCAGCTTTTCTTTCCTTCAAGTTGATATTGACTCTGAATTACGAAGCATCGAAAGTCAAGTAGATTGTTCAAGTGTAGCTGATCTGTTTAAGGGAACAGCTGTTGTAAAGTATATAAAGAGTATTTTGCTGGGTAGCAGAAAACTAAAGAAAATGTTCCCTATTTATAGAATTATAAACAACTTCGCATTTCAAACCCAGGCAGTAAACTTGTCATGAGGGATAGCTTTATTATGCTTTCAAGTGAGCAACATGGTTCAACTACAAGAGTTCATCTTATATTAACAACTGAAGTGCTCGTGGTTTGTCTTGAGCAGGCCAAGCAGTCATATTCACTGATGTACCCTCCCATTCCAATTGGTGATGTCGTTGTTAAAGCAGAAGCATTAGAAAGAGAAATAGTAGGCGAATACATTATCCAATTATCGGTTACTGGTCACAAGCATTTGATAATCCGTGCAGATTCTAAAGAAATTAGAAACACGTGGGTCGGTGTGGATCAAAACAGTCCGAAAGCAAAGTTACTCTCCCCTCGTCCATTGAACGTTGTCGCTCAAAAGAAGATGCTCTCCTCTTCAATGGCTCATAATAAGTGTATGAATGAGAAACAGAATAGTTCAGTCAGGAATACAGATATCTTTACTTATTATTCTGAAAACGGCGGAGTGTCCCCTCTGGATAGCTCCGACGAAGAAGAGGAGGATGATCTAAAAACAGCAGGAAATTCAAGGGATACGATCATGGATCTCTATGACAACCACTTGACTAAACAACCCGAACCTTCACTAGGTGACAGTCTGGCCAATGTCACTCCTCAGTCTGTCAAGATCTTACCGCAGGTCCCTAATGTTGCACAAGCCAAACAAGCGACTACCATGCATCCGCCAAATAAAGGTACAACCAACGTGAAGAGCGCCTCTCCTATTAAAGAGAATGCTAGCCATCCAGTTAAAGATGCCGGACATGTTCAAATGACCTATATTGAGGCACCTACTGCAAAAATGGGGACACTAACAATTTCAAATACAAGTGACAAGAGCCCTTCTCTTTCTTCTTCTTCTCCAAAACTTGCTGGAACACGTATGAACGCTGCCGAAAAGCCATCTTCTCCAAGAGCCATTGAAGTCCAAAGGGCCGTTGTTCCGGAAATCATGCAGGCAGTTACCCAAAACACAAATGAATACTTGGCTATGAAGGATAAAATGGCCCAAAACACCAGTGCACCTGCTGCTGCAAGAGCAGCTTTACAGCAAACTGTTCCTCGAACATCATCCATGAGAAACCATGTTCATAAGCCACTGCCTCAGCATCCTTTGCCTCTTCCTGGGCAGAACCATCCTCCGTCAACTTACAACCACAATGGGCAGGTCCATTCGAATCAGTCTCCTCGATCAGCACCATCTCACGCTCATCCTACACCAGTTCAACCAAGACCAAGCGTGCCTCAAAATGGAAATCGTCCAGTGTATAGTTCTCCTATGAACACACAAAAACAGCAACCAAACTTTAGACCACAACAAAACAATAACCGACCCATGAATGCTCCTCCTCCACCAAATCATCAAAACTTTAGACCGCACAATGGAGCGCCCTCACCGTATCAACAGCAAGCGAGGCCATATAACGGAGCACCACCGCATCAACAGCCGGCTAGACCACAGTATAGCAATACTCCTAATTTAGGTGCACCCTCTCCAACCTTATCTAATAATATGCCTAGGATGCCACAGGGTCCTTCTTCATCACCTCGATTACAACAACCTCCTGGAAGATTTAATGCTCCATCCCCTTCTTTATCCCATGCTCAGATGAATAATTCTAGTGACGAATGGAATTCCCCTCCTCATAGCGTAAGGATAAGATGACCGACTTTAAGACAGTGCGCTTATCTTTTTCTTTATATAATAGCCTAGTGCATACATCACAAGCAATAGCATCAAACAGGTTTTGTATAGCAATAATCAATGTGAAGTGTTTCACTGGAACAATCAATCCTGGTACGCTGCAGACGGTCAATGCCTACTTCAAGTACGCCTAACACACAATAATCGCACATGTATGGCAGTTGAACTGCAGAATACGGGACAACTTTATCTGAATGCATGGATCTTGCCTACCACTGTGATCAAACAGCCTTCACCTACAGATATCAGTATTTCGGTTTATATGGGAACAAAAAAGGAAACATATCTGGTCCATTTCCCTCAACCTCAGGACGCAACTGCGCTCGTCAGCATTCTGTACAAGGCACATCAAGAATCCAACCAACCACTACTGCCCTCACCAGAGCCGATGGCGGATCATGATGATGAAATTGAGCCTGTAGACAATGTAAATTGCCCCCAGACGCTTAAGCCTGTGATGCAATGTAAAGCCAAGCTATTCGTTCAAAACGAAACGAACAACTGGAGTACACTTGGAAGTGTGACCATGCGTATCTCACAGCAATCACCCAGTATGCGAATGATGATTCAAATAGAAAACGACAAGACGAAATTGGTGAGTGCGATTGTGAGAAGTGGTAATGTGGAAAAAATTAGTTCAAAGCGTATTTCATTCTTGTTATCGGATGAAGCGCAAAAGACAAGCATTGTGTACATGATTCATCTGCGTGAAGAACAGACAGGGAATAAGATATACGAGTACCTTCGTATCAAGAATGCAGAGAATGGATGGTAGAAAGAGAGAGATATAAAGCTTATCTTAGTTCTGATTGCACTCTTACATATATAAATATACATATAATAGCCACATAGATATTGACATCCTCCCTTCCATTCCGCGTGTCACAATAAAGTTCATTGTTTGTACCTGTAACAGAATATGTAACATAGTGTCTATTAATAACATTTATTGACACTTTGTAAACATTTGACCCATGCAACAAGATATGTACTATATTAAAGAAGCTTTGTGCGGGCACATACACAATAAAAACTTATTTTCGTTATAAAGGCATTATAAAAGAGACATTCATTCACTGCTCTTTTCCTCCTCTCCTTTTCTATTTCTTTCAAATGAAGAAAAAAGACGTATTACAGTGTGAAGTATGCAAAAAAGAGTTCTTCGAGTTTGACCAAAGGGGCTTTCGTAATGCAGGGTTCACTGCTCATCAGAACCGTTGTATCGAACGTCAGAATCGTGAAAGGAATCCGGAACAGCTTACTCCTAAAAGGAAGCGTCGTTTACTTTTGCCTGCTTCTCCGAATCCGACGCGTTCAGGCACCAGTCCACCGAGTGTTACTCATCCACCTTCAGCATTTAATTATAGCAGCTCACCCTCTGTTTCTTCATTACCCAGTTTTCAGTCTGCTGTTATTACAACTGCGCCCATCCTGGTTTCAACAAGTGCTGCTTATACACCCATACCGGCTGAGCATCCGATGAATTACCAGCCATTACACAATACTAGTATGCCAACTATGTATTCAATTATATCATACTGCGGCTATTGCAATCTTGGCAATGGATTACATGCATCCACCTGTCCTCTCTTCCTTTCAAAGTAATATGATCCATTCCCTTTATGCTTATCTATGCCACGTAATATGTATATCTATGGACATTTATATGCCTTAAAAAATAAACTATATGCTTCCCGGCATTTATATGATTACATGAATCCAGTGTCGACAGGTTAACAACATTCACATGTGTGTGCAATGAGAAAAAAAAAAAAAGGAGGCGGGCTCTTGACTTTGCCCTCTTTGACAGGTAATATAACTTGAATGTTTTGGTAACGTTACTACAGTTACAAACCCTTTTATTGTCTCGTTATTTCTCTAACAAGCGGTTCTGAAATAACTCAAGTTGCGAACGTATATCTTCTATCTGCTCCCAAACTCGGTGTCGATGAGTTTGATCTTCTAGTTGCCACAAGATGTTATCTGGTGCAACCAGCATGTATTTTCCAAGTTCAGGCACTGTCTTATTAGGATCGAGCTTTACATTAATATTTGACCCATCCTTTCTTTCCAGTCGAATAAAGATCGGACCCATCTCTGGTGCACCTTCCCTGAAGTCAGCCTAAGTTGTCTCACAAATAAAGATCGACACTTTGTTCAGTTGTTATGTTACCTCTTCAACAGGAAGTTCCAAGTCTATAAAGCTCTCATTGTCATCCAATATCAAATCATCGCTTCTATTCTCTCTTTTTACTGTACTATAAATGTAATTTCGATCATTAGAAGAAAAAAAAAGCCCTTTTTTGATGGGTTCTCCTTACGGGTTTTCCACTATCTCGTCCAACTGTTCTAATATATTGTCTCTTTGCTGTCCGAGATATGCTTCAATACTTTCTCCGTACTTACTATAAAACTTCTCTACAGTCAATTGACGCGTCGCAGGTGGAAGCTGGTCAAGGTATATCATTCCTCTGGTTCGAAAAGAGTCGCAAGCTTGCTTAACGTATTCATGAACAGCCTCTATTTTTGATTCAGCTTCAACCACATAAAAGGGTTACTACAAAGCACTGTATGCATGCTTATATATTTTGTACTTTCTTGCTCTAGAGCTGTGATAGCTTCCTTTACAGATTGTGAATTAGTTGTCATTAATAATGCGAGATCTAAAAAATAAAAATAAAAAAAAAAGTGCTTTTTTAGCATAAAGAACCAATATTAAAACTCCATCTTTTAAACTGTATATACACACACCAGTAGTTCTGAAAGTGATATATGTCAAATCACTTGGCTATTGAAACGTACTAACTTTATCTCATACAGCCACTTCGACATTAAAGCTATTGTAGTTTGCGAGAAAAAAAAGTCAGCATTATATTTTATTTTATCCATACAACAATAATGATCCATTTACATCACGACACTAACAAGGAAAGCAGCAGCTCCAGCAATAGCTCTAGCAGAGTGCAACACTGCCCATTTATCAACAAACTGATTCACTTGATTAACATCATATGTACTATCCTTTTGAAGAGCAAATAATTGATTGTTGACAGGAGCTATGACGAACGCGGTCCAAGGTGCACTAAAGAAAGCCAATAGTGCGGCATAGAGGTATTTGTTATTCTTTGTCTTGTAGTAACAGTATCCATTAGAAGCGGTGGCTGTCAAAATAGTCACCATGGCAAATTTTGCGCCTTGTTTATAGGTTGTGACAAAGGCCGGTAAAGGGTCTTTACTTGCCTTGATAGCGGGCACGCTTATTGTTAAAACTCCTGCAGTCATCCCAGAAAAAAGACCAGTTGAGAGTAATCCAATGGAACGAGGATAGTAGATGAGGGTAGCTAATGAAGTCATATTATCGAATGATGAAAAGAATAAAAAAAAAAAAGAAAGAAAGGGTATTTATGCATTCACGGGACTAATTATACGCCGTCTCCGTTTTTGATTTTGCATAAAAATTAACCGACGCGCGGCACTTTCAGTTAAAACATGGATGAGTCAAATATTTAATGTTCCGTGTTTCAGTCGAAAGAGCCACGGATCAAAAAACACGGGTCAACTTGATGCAAGTCAACCTTTCATGATTAAGCTCTTGTTTTATTATATTTACAATTGACCTTGCTTGGTCCAAGCAGAGGTCAAAGTATGAAGGAAGGGGTATATACACTCTTTTACCTTGATACACCAGTGTAGCCAATGCCCATTGGCATAAGACTTGCACCGGTATTTGCATCATTCGATTTTTGTGTGATAGACAAGTCTATCTCGATATCGGCTATAGCATTTCTTACTTTTTTATCAAATGGTTTAAATATCTAAATGATGTTAATGATTGATCCAAAGTCAAGACCTATTCATTACCTGACGTAAAACCGCTTTCTGGCCACCAGAAGCATTTACATTAACCACGTCTTGTCTTCTGGCATTTAACAATTTTGTTAGAGCCTATAAAATAACAAGCTGTGAATAACACAAGAATATTGACTGTCATTCATACACACATCGTTACTAAATACGACCTGAACAGGATGACCTGTTTGCTGATCTGGATCATCAAAATATAAAACCAAAGAATACAGTCGATTAGAAGTAACCAGCTTTCCAAACTGCACGCATTTGGCTCGTACAATGACCACGTCTGGTAAATAACTGCTGTAATTATCACTTTCCATCAATTTTAGTGTCTCTTGAAGCTTAGCAAATGTGATATGTGTTTTGCCTTGATCATCCACAAAGATGCCTTCATTACCGTTATTTGATTCCCTAGCCGCCTCGTTTAGATCGTTCCAGACACTTTCATCAATCCAAGACACGCTTTCCAATTCAGCCTGTGTTGATCGCTCGGGATGAATGTCTTCATCATCATCCACTGTCAAATCGACGGTATGTTTTGATAATGTCATCGAAGAGGTTGTCTCGGTTTTCTTTCCCAAGTTGATTCGCTTTTTAGGTGGATGACTGTCGTCTAAAGTGGCGTGTGTTTTCTTAGACAAGGATATGGATGATGTGTTATTGATTGTTCTAGCTGAAGAAGATGGTTGAGCAGTGTCTTGCTGTATGCTTGATACAATATTCTCTTCTGCCAGTGTTATTTCGTCATAATCAAATTCGTTATTAGAAGGCACACTCCTCAAGAGATTGTTATTATTTAATGACAATTGATCAAGGTCATCAAAGAAGTCGTCATCCTTATCCAGCGACATATCATCTATGGTAGAGTCAAATTGCTCGATCGGGTCAGCTTCCATACGCTCTAGTTCAGCATAATCAATATCATCATCAAAAAGCTCATCGTCCATCAGCACGTCATCATCCATATCAGACGGTAATGGTGGCGGAAGAGGCGTGTTACGTTGTGTGAGTGATGATGGTGGTGGTGGTGCTTGTCGAGGTGGATTCTCTAATAAACCTAGGCTTGCCTTTAACCGATTCTCCAACTCTTTTAGCATGTCTCCTCCGTATAATTCTGGCACCGCTCCTCCCATCACTTTCACGTTATTCCTTCTCAGCAACAGCATCCCTCTTCTGACTTGACAGCTTTTGATAAGTATCTACAATGGGGATGTTCATTAACCGCTTCATCTTTTTTTTTTTTTTTTT